ATTTAAATTTTATCACTAATAATAATTTGTAACGAAAAATAAAGATTTAATGATCAATAATTTAGTCACTAAATATGAATTTTTTGGTAGTGATGTGTAGAATTTGGATGCGGGCATACCATTTACTTTACTGAAAATAAGAAGGAAGAATTTTCTCAATGACCCTCTCTTTTCTCACGATCGACTTCCTTGCGAATGGCGGGAAGAACATTGGTTTAAAATTAAAATTTGCACCTACAAACAATTTGTAAAAGGGAGGGACTCTTCTCGTAAAATTGGTTACGAAATTTGCTTTAGACAACTCCAAAAACTTAAACACTATCGTGAATCAAAGTTAACAAATCATAAATGAGTTAACTAGCATGCAAATTAAAGTAAACTTATGAGAAAAAGATATACCCAAATTAAATTAAACATGTTCATTATCAAATTAAATTGTTATCTGCAAACAAATTTGGAAGTTAAATTACTGCATATTTTGAGATCTAACCCTAAATAACACTAAAATTAAATATGAACAACGATTAAACTAACATGCTTGAAATTGAGAAGAAGTGTGAACGTCATATAAGTAATTATTTGATGAAACGTTACTTGTCATAAACATTAAATTAATTATAGTCAGAAAAGGAATAGTACTTTTAAGAAATTCAAAAGCTTGAAATTCATTACATGAAACAAAATTACTAAAGTGAATATATGAACTAATTCAACTATTGAAATGATGAAAAACATCTTAAATCTATTAGGAATTGTGTTAAAATTTGAAATCTATAAGCAAAAGTGAGAAATTGCAAAGAAATTAAAAATCTAAAAATTTGCAGGTTGTGTGTAAGAGCTAGTTGTGTCTTCTGTGATCCGAAATTTTTGTTTTGTTTCCCTTTTCCCATCTACAACTCTTTACTTTCTGTAGTTACATAAATTGTGGACAATTTCTTGAAGAAGTGGAACATCTCAGTAGTTGACAGAGTCAAATTTCCTTCCAAATTTCATCACTTGTCCCATTATTTAATAACCCACACTCATAATTGAAACCTCCCCTTAAATTTTAGTTAAAACATATCCAATTTGATTCAAAAAAGATATTTAAAAGATAAAATCTTCTTTTTTGTCTTCTTTTTTCCTATGTGGCAGCTGATCTATTATGGGATCCAAAACTCCATATTTGACATAATTAAATTACTTTCATCCATTTAAAAATTTTTAACACGCATGATTTTAAATTTTTACAATTTATGATGTAAACACTCTCTTCATTGATTATTTTCTTTTAGAAGAAAAATAAAATGAGAGCTGAAATTGAATTTTTCTAGTAGAAATTAAATCAAACACAAATGCAAAATTACGACCATCAATCTCCGAGCACCGGAAAGAACACACAAGAAAGGAGACAAAATCAGAGCAAAAGA